GCTCCTCGGGGCAGAGACAGCAGCTGTGCATGGTTGGGAAGTTGCTATGACCACAGAGCCTATATTCACTGGTCATAAGGCTTTAGTAGGAATAAGATCTTTACAGCTTCCTTCACTCCCACTGGAAGTGGGTTAGAGCTTGTGAACCGTGACAAGAGATTTTTTTTTTTAATTAGGAGTAAAAGTGCTAATCAATGAATGTTAAAAGGCTGTATTATCTGCACAAATAAGGTACTTTCTTAGGACTTCCAGAAACCACCATGCAGTACTAATGAAGTTCTAAGAGACCCGTGTAATTGTCGCAGCTCAGGAGACAAATTCAACTTGTACGTATGTTTTTATTGGCTTCCTCTAGTCTAGAGACAACAGGTGACATTATGGTCCAGAGTCTAAGCTGACAGAATACGAAGATGTCTGAAACAATTATCTGTTTCAGCAAAAATCCTGTCTCTCTGTGTGTTCAGTTTTTTAAATTTAATAGCTAATGCATTAGAAGAAACACATTAATAAGACGCTGACCAGCAGAAGAGAAGAGGAAAGATATTGGAAGGCTACCGTAGAAAACTATTTTTTCAAGATGAATGACCTATGGAAGAGCTCAGTATTTCATTCTTTATATGTAATTATATGTTATGTGTAAGGGTGTATTGCTTGCACATGTGTCTGTGTATGTCTGATGCCCGCTGAGGCAAGGAAAAGGCTTCAGATCTTTGGAACTGGAGTTACAGGTTTGGTGTGAACTTCCATGTGGATACTGGGAATTGAACCTAGATCCTGTGGAAGAGCAAAACCAGTGTTCTTAATCCTGCAAAAATCTCTCCAGCCCCACACACTTAGTACATTTTAAGAATAACTGTGGGACTGTAACGATCCAGTGTCATGGAGGAAGAGTCAAGGAAGCTTCAACCCCAGATTCCCCAAATATGAGGACAGGAGTTGGCTTCCTCCCCCTCCCAACCTGCTGACATAAAGTTGGCTCCCCACCATCAACCCTAGCAGGAATTTATTACTCCGACAGTTATCAGGCTTCCCTCTTTGTTTAACCTTATAAGGTTTTTTCTTCCCCTGACTCTATAGCCCCTGAGTATGCAGATGAAGCATCTTTTAACACCTCTGCCCTGGTCAGTGATACACAGTCACATAAGCCTTGCCCCTCAGACTCTGGCTACCTCCCCAGGGCATAAATACCCCTCCCCCAATTAATGAACCAGAGCCCTGAAGCTGTTCCCAGGTGTGTTTATTGCCTCAGAAAGATCCTGCTCTGTACACCCAGTTAAGCCTCCCTCCCTCCAGTCCAGATCCATCTGGCTACCCAGAGAAAGAAGTGGACATGGGTATCAAATAATAACCAATAGTTCAATAGCTAGTTTCCTATAATTATCTTTTTGTTCAAATGTCTCTCATTTAGACAGGAGCATGATGGCTATTGCTAGTTTTAAAGTGTGTAGAGGTCCTGGATTTTTTTTTTTTTTTTTTTTTTTTTTTGCCCCTAAAGGAGGCTACATCCTCAAGCCATGGCTTCTATGTCCAAATCAAAACCAGGACCCTACTTAGTGACTCTCAGGTGCTTTGTCAATGCTGCCATGGGCCCTGTGCATTGGTTCCTTCTAGAAGAGCTAATGTCTTGTTTATACTCAGTGGAATAACAACGTTTTGTTTTGGAGGAAAGTCCTTCAAAAGAACAAAATATGAGGTCCTCATAGGAGCCACTGTTTGCCACAAACTGAGCCTGTAGGTGGATGATCTTTTATTGCAGACCCTCTGTCTAGCTCTTCCTGCCTCGTAGAGCACTCTGAGACAGACAAACACACACTCGGTCCCTTGAAGGTGTCATTTGCCTATGAATACCTTCAGCCTTTCTGATCTATATTTCTTTTAGCTCTGGAATTATATGACGGTATAATTGGATTATATATCTTGGATTTTAAGAACTGGTTTGCTTTATAATTTAGGCTGGAAAGCAGGACATCATATTCCATCTCACTATTTACATTCTTTGGAGTTTTGTTTTTGATTTTTAGATATTTACTCATAGTACATAATTTACTATTTTCCATACAATAAGAATTTATCTATCAGTACCCTCTAAATCTACAACAAATATAGTTTTTATGGTATCATATGATAATATAAGGTATATTATACCATTGTATAGTATATAATTATATATTAAAATATAGTTGGTTTAGACTATTGGAACTTGATACTGAAAAAGCTTTTAACTGGTATTCATTGTAAACTCTTAATTTTGTTCATCATTTAGACACATGTCCTTCCAAGTATCCCTTGATTTATGCATTTACCAAGGTTTAAAATATTAGGTGAGCTCAATACTAAATACTTCACCATTTTGTTTTGTCTTCTTTACAAAAGAAACCATGCCTCTGCTTCTACTTTTCAAAGAGAGTATCTCTAAGAAACTTTTGCCATGGTGACTGTTTGTGGAATGAATATCTCTTCCTCAAATGCTATAAAATTATATGATCAGCAAGATGGCCTGCCAGTGCAGATAGAAGCAAACAAACTACAGAAAGTTTGCAAGTTTGGAGAGGTTGTAGTAGGAGAGAAACAGGACTGTACTCTAGTTGTCTATTAGGAACAGTGGGGACATTCATTTTGTTGGCTTCAGTGGTGTATGGGAGAATTTTAAAGTTTCAATTTGTATACCCTACCTTGTGTTACCAGAAAAAAAAAGTAATCATCTGCCTTTAGAAATATAGTCTGAAATTTTATTATCCTTGGATAAGTAAGAAAAGAAAAAAAGAAAAAGTGACATTGGATATGTATATAATTATGAGAGAAGTTTTGCTTCAAATGTACAATAAATTAATGACATGGATCAGACAGATTTATTCACTGGAATAAAACAAAGACTTCTCTGAATAAAACAAAGGATGGAGGCACAGGATTAGTCCAACATCCTCTAAATTTAGAGGACAGAATGAGACATAGTGACTGGATCCCTTATAGACAGTGCTGTGAGTCTTTGTGAAACTCTGGATCACAGTGAAAAGCAGGCTTGGAAGAGGAAGACCTATCTAGGAAGCCAGGATTATTAAAAACATATTTTTAGTCTGCTTTTTTAAAAAACAAAATATCTGAACCCAATTTGTCCCTTTTGACTTTTTCCATGGATACATTCAAAGCAGACTGTGTTTTCCAATCAATTGATATATTTACTTCCAATTTGACTTCTTCTGACTATCTGCATGCACGTAAGTCTAGCCTAAAGCCAGTGCATCCAACTGCACTCTTGGGTAACTCTGATCATCACCACCAGCTACTCCTCAGAGAAAAGTCAGTGACATTTGATTAGCTATTTTTCAATCTGGAGAGAACAGGAAGACACCATCAAATAAAAGACATCTTCCACTGTCACATGTCTGTTGCAGGATTTTTGATCACACTGTGAACCCCGAGATTGTGTTATTTAATGAAAGAGCCTGTTTCTAGTTGTGGTGTGGCTCAGCCCTTAGCTTTAATCCCTCTGGCTGGATTACAGACAAACTCTTAGTACTTACCTTTAATTCAAAACAATGAAGCTAAAGTTAGTTTGTAGGTGGAAGCATCCATGTTTAAAAGTGATGTCTAATTGAGTGGCAGACAAAGTGATGAATCAGAGAAAGACTTGACAGAATAGGATACGCCCAACTCTCACAAGAAGAGAAAGGAAAAGGGAAGCTGATTGAGGGACAGTGGGGGGAGAGAGAGAGAGAGAGAGAGAGAGAGAGAGAGAGAGAAAGAGAGAGAGAGAAAGAGAGAGAGAGAAGGGGATAGTTTTTATTGGGACAGTTTGTACAGACAGGTTACAGAGAAAGAACAATCTACCCACAGACAAAGACAGAATGAACCAGAGAATGAGAAGGAGACAGAAGATCAGAACAGATTGCCAAAGTTAGTATGAGGCCAAGCAGAGCAATTGAAGAGAAACAGAGAAGCCAGACTGAATCAGTCAGGTTGGTGAGGAGTTTGAGCCAGAACAGCTGAGTTGAACCAACCAGCCAGAGTTCAGAAAGAGTTAGAAAGGCTGAGCTTCTTCAGTAGTAACTCTTAGAGACCAAAAACATTCTAGGCCTTCATAAGATTGTATGAAAGCTAGAAGCTTCTAGGACTTGCTCTAGGTTAGCAGACAGAGATAGTACCTAGGAGATGACAATTACATCAGGCAAATAAAAGTTATATTTATACATATGAGTGAGATTTGGACTATTTTCCTCCTTTTAAAAATGCTTAAGGACTCAGGCCTACAACAGCATTAAACTAAGAAAAGCAAGCCATCCATCATCTGGTTCAGGTGGGGTTTTGATGCTACTTGATCATTTTTTACATTCTCACTGAGTGATCGACCTTTCTGTTGTGACAACTTCTCCTTATGCCAAGAGAATGTATATACAGACTCTAGAACTAGCAACACAGACCAAGCTGGCATTGTCCTTGTGGGGACCCTCTTTGCCTCCCTTTTGCTAAAACCATGGTTGTATTGGACACCATACCTGGAGGACAAGACAAATTTTTATCCACCGGGAAGGTAAGCCAAGCCCCAGTGCAGAAAAATCAAAGGTTGAGCCAAAATTGAACATTAAACCCACCTGTCTCTGAAGCTCTTTGTATCTTAGAGCCTTGAAATTACAAACTAAAACTCATTCATTCTGAGGTCAGTGAACTCCGTATCATCTGTATTATGTATCTCTCTTTTTCCAACCTTAGAATGTTAATAATGACATGGTTATGGACTGTGGACCATACTGTACAAAAATGAAGTTCTGATTTGGCCAGTCATAGCATGTGGCAGACTCATAGCAGTCTTTCAAAGATTTGTTTAATGTGTCTTTAATTTCCATCTAGTAGGGTTATTTTGCAAGTCTCCATAAGTAATTCACAACAATAAATCATTATCTCTCTCAGTTCCTATGGCTTGTTCCAAAAATACACCGTGAGTTTTCAAAGACATACATGATGTATGTATAGAGAGACAAGGGCCGTCACCCCAGGTTCCTTACCTTCACAATTACTGTGACCGTTGCTATACCAGGTGGCATCGTCCCATAAATATCAAAGGCCTCCACCAAGAATGTGATGCTTGCCTCTTGGTCAGGAAACGCCTCATAATCCAAACTCCTCAGAAGAGACAATTCCCCAGTAAATGGATGTAATGCAAAAAGGTGCTTCACTTCCGGGCTCCTGATCCGATACGACACATTGGCTCCAAGATCAACATCCTTGGCCTAGGACAAGTCAGAGAGAAGAATGGTTATATCAGAGGGTTTCCCACAGGTGGACTGAGGGCTGATGGGAAATGCATTAGTGCCTTGGACAGCATGGATTTGACGAGAGGAAAGAGACACGTGACTCGTCATCTCTCGGTAAACGGGAAATGGAAAGAAGGAGAAAAGACAGACATAAGACAATGAGCATAAAATATTTTACTAGAAACTTTGAAGGAGCGATTTACATGCACGGGTTCTAAAATCCCATTAGGAAAAATACAGAAACGCGGAAAGAGTTGCTTTTCAGAAGGATGCCTTGGAAGGTTGAGGTAATATATTTGTGAAGGCCTCTCCCTACACTTCCCTGCTTTTTTGACCGGTATCTGTTAAACACTCATTGTGCAGAAGGTACAGTAAAGAGAATAAAACAAACTCAGGTATAAATACCATACCATGGAAGAGAAATAAGACATAAATACCCAAATCAAAGGGGAAAGATGATGTGCTATCCAAAGTGATCTGAATTGGATCGCAAACTGAAAGATGGTTTTGTTTCTGTTTGTTTTGTTTTGTTCTATGGAGGCAGAGTGGCCATTCCACTCAGTGGCACAGACTGGGAATAGCTCCTCGCTGGATAGAGCAGAACTGTAAGAATAGAAGTGCAGATCCTTGGGTCTGTTGCCTAAGTACTCATTTGGGTTCACTCTGCCTAGCTATTAGTCTTATTCTTCTCTAATCACGACATCACAGTAGAGTGGACCAGTCAAAGTACAGTCGAAAATTCCTCCATTTCCACTTTGTCTTTGACCAACACTGTTAGTCGCCTTTCTGACATTGTAATAGAATTACTCTTTATGAGAAGTAACTCATAAAGTGGGGTTCAGTCCCTGGCCACTAAGCCCTATGTGGATATGTGGAGGTACAGCACATCATGGTGGTAAATGAGGACCATAGAAGCTTTGTCTGTGTCATGAAACCCAGGAAACAGAGAGAAACATGAAGGGACTAGGGACTCAGTATCTTTCTTCAAGGGCATGTTCTCTGTGCCCCAACATGTAATAATTCTACAGGCTGAGGACCAAGCCTTAAGCATATGGGCCTTGGGGGACATTCAAGATTCAAATGACAGCAATCTAATCCTCTGAATGCTGTGACAGAACACAATGCCTTCTGGCTCTTTAGAACCTTGAACATCAATCAGCAACCCGCTTGACATTTTGATCGTTTTGTTTTTACATGGCCTTGAATAATCCTTTCAGTTTCTCTCTTTGTCTGGTAGCTGACTTGCTTCTCAGTTCACAGTTGCAAAGTAGCTTTTTCTAGCAGGAAAAAAAAAATAAACCACTCAAGGTTGTATAGAAAGCATATCTTAGCTACTTAGGAGCTTGCTTCTGAGTAGCAATGTTGGGTGTTGTATGAAGCTGGTTTGAGAATTCTCTAGGCACTTGTGAATTCATCTTGATACTTATGTGTCAGCAAAAATGTATATATGTAAATTTATATATATGTGTGTGTGTATACACATACATACATACATACATATACATATATATATACACACATACACATATATGTATATATACATATATATGTAACATATATGTATGTAACAATTGATGGAAAGGGAGACATAATTTGAAAGAGAACAAGAAGTATTGATTATATTTAGAAGGAGGAAAGGAAAGGAGGAAATGATATGATAATAATATCAAAATATATATTTTAATAATTAAATACTTAGACATTTAATATATGTAAATGTGTAATATTTCTTATGAGTGTGAACTTTCTCCTTTTGATTTTATGGGTTCTCTTAGGGAAAGGTTTTCAGAAAAAAAAAACCACAATAAGATTTATCGACAGCTTATCTGAATTTAAGCTACTCTGAGCTCATCACATGTTGTTTATAGTTAAACTTCAAAGTCCCCTCCTCACAGGTAATCTTATAATACAGATGTTATGGATTAATGCTTGTTCACACACCTCTATTTGAAGGAAGGAGGTCCCGGCTGGCAGATTCTCCTCAACGACAACCGTGTATGTTGAATTTGTAAAAACAGGACTGTTATCATCAATGTCCAGAACCTTGATGTACAGTGTCAGAGTTGAATGTCGAGGGTGCACTGCTCCATCTGTTGCCACAACAACCAGTTCATAGTGGTCCCTGGCTTCCCTGTTCAGCTTCACGGCTGTGTAGATGCTGCCATTGGATGTGATGCGGAAGAGGTTGTTGAAATTCCCCAGGCTGTAGTGCACTTGGCCGTTTATCCCAGCATCTGGGTCTGTTGCCTTAAACGGAAGAACAAAAGGCTTCACGCAACAGCTTCTGGCACGTGGTTTGGCAAACCATGCCATGTTTTCTAACCAAATAGTCTTTTTTTCCTCTAAAGGTAAAATTAGAAAGATAATAAAGGTACAACTTGCAGTCAAAAATCATGAAAAGAGATAAACTATGATTTAATTATACACTCAGTGAAAAATGAAATAACCTGATACCATTAGACCCAGCAATATATTATGTCAGAGAAAAATGAGTGTTATAAAAATGGAAAGTTTCATGTCATTTTACTGCTACGGTGGATTTTAAATGTCAAAAGTAACACTTGGTTTTAATTAATTGAAGATAATTCACTAACAGTTTTAAGATTTGTATGGTTGTTTTGTTTAAAAAATTCATATAGTCACTTTCATTGTTTACATAAGATTGGGCACAATGTATATTTACCTCATTTAATCTTTATGGTGATTTCTAATGAGTAAATATCTTTGGCCCCATTATGCAAATGAGACCATATGGCTTAAGGAAATTAATTGTCTCACATAAAGTAATTCAAGAATTAAATACCTCAGGGGTGCTAGGATTTAGAACAATGACTTATATATAAAATTATTTAATAAATGCTAATGAAAGTAATGAATGTCCAGTGGATACATGGATCTGAGGTTGGAAATTAAACATATTCCCAAACTGAATGGTAATAAAAGTACAGTAATTGTGAAATCACAAGTCAAGGCTACTGTTTAATGTTAGAATATGAATCTCAAATAATAGCTGAGGATCATTGGGGCTACCTGAATCTATATTTGCTAAAAGTTTTAGGCATGAAGTCATTTTGCAACAGAAATGGAAAAGTTATTTCTAATAGAATTTTGATAGAAGCACTTTCGCTTTAAAGTCAGCAAATTCATCACAACAGATAACCTCACACTACCAGATACTGCACATTTTATATCAAATGACTGTATTATTATTTTTCATAAACTCTTGACTCTACCTAAGAAGATGTGAAATTGTATATACTTATGTTCCAAACTTCCACTAAAGACAGGGGAGAGGACTTCATTTGATTTTTAAACCCAGAGATGACTGAATTGTTGCGAGGGCTGGAACGCAAGGCAGTACATTTTAACATCACATACACTCATCTCTCATTATGACAAAAGAAAGTTGAGATGCGGACATAGGGCTGGTGGTGAGATGGCCTGAGCTCAACCCCTGGAACGTGTATGGTGCAAGAACCCCTCTGACCTTCACACACATGCACTGTGGGACATATGAGCACACTCATACACACACATACACATACATATACACAATCACACATACTCACATATACACTCACACATATACACACACTCACATACACTCATACACACAAACACACTCATACACACTCACACACACACATGCACACTCTCACACACCAACCCATACACATAGTCTCACACAAACTTACATATACACTCACACATATACACACTCACATACACAAACACTCACACACACTCACATACAGACATGCACACTCACACACTCACACACCCCCATACACACTCACATGCACAAACACATTCACAAACACACACGTACTCACATGCACAGTCACACGCACAAACACATTCACACACACACTCACATATACACACCTACACACTCACATATACACACCTACACACACACACACATTCACATACATTCACACATACTCACACATATTCACACACACTATGTAAATACATAATAAATAAATAATAAGCAAACAGAAAATAAATGAAAAGAGCAAGATGTGACTATCATGCTGATAGCTACAGTCTTCCACTTCATATGACTGACACTCAGCCAGAACCGCCCTTTAGACAGAACCACAGATGCCCTGCAGAGGTTGATCCTGACAGTAAACTAGGAAAAAAGAATTACGTTAATACCTGGAGGAGGAAAACAAACATAGAGAACTGAAGAGTTACGTAGAAATCTTTTTCCTGAAGCTCTACTTTGTCTAGATGGGTCCTGAAACTGTTGGTGGATTAGTGGCACTTGCCATCTAATAAACAACAGACAACACACTCTGTCATTCTGGGGGGAAAGGACTGAAGGGTTTGTTTTCAGATCAAGTAAAGAAAAAAATTAATTTAATAATTTAGGTAGGTTGTGATCCATACACCATTTCTCTTATGATTTTCAGCCTCACCTTTCATCTTTGGGACGCTTAGTAAAAAAAAAAAATTCTAGACATGCATCAAAATTTAAGTGATGCCTACCCAAGGTATTTGATCATCTCTTAGTTCAAAGTTCACGATGACAAAGAAGTTTGATTTAAGTAGTAAACCTTTGCCTCTCTCTCTGTCTCTGTCTCTGTCTCTGTCTCTCTCTCTCTCCCTCTCCCTCTCCCTCTCCCTCTCTCTCTCTCTCCATCCCTGCCACCCTCTGTGTGTGAGTCTGAGTGTATGTGAGTGTGTTAGTGTGTTGAGTGTATTCGTGTGTTTTAGCATGTTGTAACTATAAGTGAGTGTGTCTCATGTGTTTGTGTATGAGCATGTGTATTGGTATATGTGAGTGTGTATGTTACTATGTGTGTGCGTGTGTGTACATATATGTATATATGTATAATTGAGCACATCTTCTTCTTTGTATCCCCACCAATTTAACTAACGTCTCATTTCTAGCATCCAGGATAAATGTACACTAACTTACCATGGGTTACACTCTTATAAACTCATTTAAATCAAAACATTATGTGTCAAAGTATTTAATACATTAATGTCCTGAGCCCCACAGGTGAGGAACCCACTGCACTGTGCAGCTCTGGTCATTTCCACTTACAAGGGATGCCAACTGGGGACTGAAGCTTCCTGTGGCTGCTAAGTGTTTCGAGACACTATCACTGCATAATGAACGCCACCATGACACAGATCAAACTTCAAATCTCCTGTTCATCTTGTACACGATACCTGTTGCTTCTGGACCATCGTAACCCCAAAAGCTTGTAAGTCAATCTATAATACAGAGGAGCTGCATGTACTAGTATCTATTGCATTGCCGAAATAACAAATAACCATATACAGTTATTAGTTATTGGCTCCCGTGAAATAAATGTTCATTATATAAATCTCTGCAGATGAAAAAAGTTGAGTGTAGGAGGACTGACTTAAAAGGTAAGTATGAGCCTCCCTCTGGGAGTCTCTGGGAAAATATCGAAACTATGGATAGAGTTAGGCTGTGTAAGCAGTGAGCCTGAGATTTCCACCCTTGAAAAAGTCAGAATGTGAAGACTACTTGCCAACCGCATCCACCGCCATTTTCTGTACCTGTAAGGGCAGTAGTGTTGATCTTGTCCTTGGAGGTTTTGAATGACTTCTCCCTCTCTCTACCTCTTTGATTCATGCTCCAGCCATCTTGGTCTTCTTTAAAACGTGTGCAAGTATTTTAGGCTTACTTTGACAAACAAGGCTACGCCATCCTTATAAGGACCTTCATTTTAATCATACATTTTGCAAGTATATAACCACGTCTCTATTTTTTAGAAATTATTTACTTTTAGTCTACCTGTTAAATATCTGTTTAAGAAGCTTTCAGTTAACAAAGCTTTCTGTTAGCAGGAGCATCCTCTTTAAAGCTGTCTTAGTTAGGGTTTCCATTGCTGTGAAAAGACATCATGACCAAGGCAAACTCTTACAAAGGCAAACATTTAATTGGGACTGGCTTACAGGTTCAGAGGTTCAGTCCATTATCATCATAGAAGGAAACATGGCAGCATCCAGGCAGGCATAGTGCTGGAGGAGCCGAGAGTTCTACATCTTCATCAAAAGGAAGCCAGGAGCAGACTGGCTTCCAGGCAGCTACAAGGAGGGTCTCAAAGCCCACCCCCAGAGTGATACACTTCCCCTAACAAGGCCACACCTCCTAATTGTGCCACTCCCTGGGTCAAGCATATTTAAGCCACCACAAACACATCCCATAACTATTTAAAAATTCATTTAAATTAGCCAAAGTGTAATGAACATTTCATGTGCACACAAGACACCTTTGTCTCATCCACTCATCCATAGGTGGCTCCCTGCATGGCTAGCCACTGTGAAAGAAAATGTGTATATTTGACTGTATTTTCTGCAGCAATTAACTCGAAAGTTCAAGCTGCTCAAATATGCAGCTAATGGTGACAAAGGGACAGAGTATGCATGGAAGCTACTTCCTTTCTTCCTTCTGTGTCTCCCAGTCACTGAGCAAGATTAATGAGGTTGTGACTCAGGCACTGGGGGTGCCTGATTCAGTAACTTACTGTTACATATGAGGAAGTCGGTGTGAGACAGGAGAGCTATCGCGGAGTTTGTATTATCAATAGTACCGTCGAGAACTTTGCCTGGATGCTTAATATCTACCCGAGCAGCTCACTGCTCGCAATGCTATAATGGAGTCATTCATCTTCTCGCAGATCAATTAAAAGTTAATTAAAATTGTTAATAAGAAAAATCACACTTCTCCACTTGTACTACATCAAAGCAACAAACAGGAATGGCTGCAACTTTATAATCATCTGTCCATGGTATACTCTGTTAAAAATGTATGTCTTACTGTGGCCTGATTTGTGGTGAGAATTTTGAGCATGCATATGGTCAAGAGATTGGCTGAAAGTCTATGACCAAATAAACGCTTCAAGGATTGAAATGAAGGTTTCGTCAGAGAGAAGTTTAGATACGCGCTAGAAAGACGAACAGCACGGCTAAGTCACTGAAATCCAAGTTAGAGCATATGTTAACATTATCCAAACAGTTATTTAAGGGAGAGGCCAGAGGCCGTGCAAAATTACTTCCTAAACAAATGCTACTTATGAACAATTGTGCACTGCTATTTTTTTTCCATGCTGCTTGTCAACAAAGTTAGGAATTATAGTTCTTAAGCATTCAATTCATACCCTCCTTTTCGTTCTTGTTATTTTTGCTCATTGTCTTTTTCGAGGTCTGTGTCTTTTTCTTAAGTAAACGAAGCTCATTACATCCACCAAACTTGTAGA